ACTTCTGAATATTTTGACTGTTATGCCTAATTTTCGCTTAAAAGTGAGAGAGAGAGAAAGGGAAAAAATATCCCAATAAAATTCACCCTTGTCGAACACATATAAATAGAAATGCAGGCAAAAATTTTATGGAAACCTTAGACACGCCTTTTTATTCTACATATCATAATTATAACCTAATATCTTAGGCGTGCGATTTTCACCCAAAAGTCGTGTCGTCTGCAGCACAACTCTGAAACGCGTTCACTATGTATTCTTCACTCGTGGAATGATTGTGTTAGAGCAGAAATTTTCTTTCACACCAGATGACAACGGAAAACTTAAATAAGATTTTTTTAATCACCATGAAAATCATCAAGGCCATCAAAACCATCATCATTACAAATCTTTGATTTGAACATCACTTCCGGCCAGTCATATATTACTTCAGGGGACTTAATTTGCATATAAGAGAAAAAATTAATTTTTATCTGATTTTGGCTTTTCTTTCATTATTTCATTATTTTCAAAAAGTAATGTTCCGTTTTGCTCACAAATCGAGCCACTTTTGATCCACATGCACTGTTTGTAAAAATTATGTAATTAGAAATAACAGACGTGTCTAACGTTTTCACTCCACAGCCATAAAACTCGACGTTAGCTGCGTGGGTATAAATGTAGGTCAATTGCCTGTATAAAATTGCCATACGATTATTGATTTTTTAGTGTGGACCGTTTTAGGGGGGAGACTGAAGTGGAAGATGTATCAAGATACCAGCAAAATATTTTGGTTGCATGGGGTTACTTAAAGGCAGAGTATATTGCAAACTTTGAAAGAAAAGAGTAAAACAAGCCCACGTCTCCAGCTTCACCATGTAGGACTTTATAGATGCCGCGGTCCCTCTCTTTTTCATCTGACTCTCCCCAAAAAAATGCAGACCGCGTTAATTGTTGAGCTCCCGGGAAGCGCGGAGCATCCAGCGTGGTGGCAGACGCTGGTGCTCTCTGCAGACGGCATATTGCAGTCACACAGGAGGGGGTAAAGGTTTTCTAGGGAAATGTTGTATTAAATTAAATCTGACGAATTACGTGATAAAGGAAAGAAATTTGACTTATTTGAATTTACATTGACTTAGTGCAATGAAAGACACCGATTCACTGTATTTCTTCTCAAAATTGAGAGAGTAGGGGAAAAAAAGCAAAAGGAGATTACCTATCAACCCTATGAATCATTACATGGCATATCCTGTCCGTGAACTTTTGACCTACTTTCGCATAGATTTCACACTCCTACACAAGCTGAGTTTGTATGGGGCGTATTGGTGTGTGTGTGTGTGTGT